CCTCGCATCTCCTGCCCTCGGTCAACAAGTCGGGATCCGGTCTTCGGTGCAGCTCTCCCTGCCGCCTTCCCCAGCTCAACGACCGGCGGGGGAGGGCCCGGGAGGGAGGGAGGGAGCGCCGGGCTCGGGGCTGCGGGGCGCCGAGCGCTGAGTGCCCTTCGGACGTGAGCGGTCCGTGCCCGGCCGGATCGTCAGCGGCGAGGGAGGAGCGGGTGGGCTGGTGAGAGTAGCAGCGGCGGGTCCCTCCCAAGTCGGGAGGGGCTGCTCCGCCGGGATTCCCTCCCGCGCGGGCCCCTGGGTGTTGGGGCGCTGGGGCGGCGCAGTGGGCTGGGTCAGGGAGATGGAAGGTGCCCACGCTGCGCCCTTTGCCCGGCTGGTGGGCCACCACCAACCTTGGCTGGGACCGAGAGCTCCTGTGCCAGGCTTCCGTTCCCGGGGCAGATTCTCCGGGGCAGCGACCGGGTGCGGAGGTCTGAGGCGCAGTGCCGCCCCCACGGCCACGCCCCGGCCTCCCGGGAGGGCAGGGCTGGCTCGCGCAGCTGCCACCCGTGCAGAGCTCAGCCCAGCGCACACGTGGGTTGAACCGAAACGCTTATGGCTTTTCCGAGGGCGTGGGGGATGGCACCCTTGTCTGTTCCTTCGATGCTTCCAGCGCTCGGACCCTAGTCGAGGCCCTGGGCTGTGCACGGGAGGCCCGACGGCGAACAGTCCTGCCCCAGCACTCGGGGGGCTCCTCCTCTGACTCCTCACCCGGAAGTCCTCCAGGCCCGGGCGAGGCCTTGCACTTAGCTGGAGTCCGACACCCGGGTGCCCAATGCTCATCAGGGCTCCATCGTGGGCGCCCAGCCTCGGGGCAGCCTGGACCCCGGGAAAGAGGCCGCGGGCTGTGGCCAGGGTTTTCTTCCAGAGGCATCGGAAACGAAGGCTGCTTGGGGGCTTCTCGGGGCGGTCAGGGTGCGGGTAGTGCAGTTCGGTTCCCCCCGGCAGCTCAGCCGGGAGCAGAGGGAACTGGCCCGAGCGTCCGAAGAGCCCTCGGCCCGCAGTTGGCGGGACGTGCGCGCCCTCTAGAGGCGATGGCTTCCGTCCCTTTCCCGGGTGACCACCCCTCCTGGGGCGGCCCTTGTGTCTCCCTGTCGCGAAAGGAGCAGAAACAACTCCCCGTTCGCCCCCCCGGCCCCCCCGCCCGCCAAGGGCGTGCTGGAGTGAGCACCCCCTCTGCGTCCTCCCTGCAGAGCCGGGAGGGGGGAGCGGAGGAAGGCGGTGTCTAGCCTGCCGGATGCCCGTCTTGAGCCTGGATGCTCCGATCATGCCAGGCACTTTGGGACTGAACCCGGAGGCGCGAGGCTGCGCCCTCAGCCCGGGTTGGGCCCCTTGGCAGCGCGGCCCGTCCTTCTGGGAAGGCGGTGGATTAGGCAATTAGGCCGGCAGCACATGAAACTAACAAAGGCCGCCGTGGACCAGGGCCCGCACCCGGCCGGCCTAGGCTCTGTAGAAATTACTCCCAGGAAAGCCTGGCCCGCCGCGGGGCGGGGACGAGGGGGCAGGCCGCGCAGCTCCCACTCTGCGAGCCTGCTCCTTCCCGACCCATCCCCGACCCCCTTCTGCCGCGCTCAACACCCTAGGACAGGAGGGCCAGGGTGTCCCTGCCCACCTTCTCCAAAACAAAACAGCTCTGGCCTCCGAAGGCGCAACAAAAGAAGACAGGCCAGCAGCTTCCAGGCAAGTCTGAGCTCCAGTTCAGAACTGGGGCCGCATTTCTGGCTGCAGCGGAACCTCCCCCGGAACTAAAACCTTCAGGCCTTCTGCCCCAGCTAGCTCCCAGCCGGCAGCGGCCAACGTCTAGGCCCAACTTCTCACTTCAAAGGGAGCAGTTCTCCCAGGGGGGCTGCACCATATGAATAAATTCATGCTGAGGGTGATGCGGAACTTCAAGGACCGGGAGGTTATGTCGTAAACAGATCTTCTCCATCAGCAGCCGCGGGTGCGGCGCGGCCGTGGCCCCACTGAGACAGAGCTGCTTGTGCTTTGCAGCAACTCGCCTGGAATGTTACAGGGTGTCCTTTCAAAGTGTTACCACGTGTGGTGGATTCAAGGGGTCGCGCAGCTTTCCAGCCCAGGATCTTTGGATTCTGGGGAGAGGGCAGGAATTTGGGGTTGTCTTAGCCGAAAGCAGCGGTTCCTGGGAGAGGTCTCCAAGTGAGTTTATGGTGTATGCCACCCACTGGGGGCCAGCAGCAGCAACTCACACCTTTGCTTAGAAAACATCTTTTCCTGCACCCCAGGAAAGTGGCTAAGCCTTTCCTTCCCGAAGACTGTGATTTTCTCTTTTGTCCTTCTGCTCAGTTGTGTTGAAGTATTTTGCCTCAAGAAAGGGAAAGGGAAAGGGAAGGGAAGGGAAAGGGAAAGGGAAAGGGAAAAGGAAAGGGAAAAGGAGAGGGAAAGGAAAGAGACGTGGGTTTCCAGATACCAGTCAAGACACACACCAGGCCAACGAGTTAAAGGAAAAATATTTATTGGTGTACTAAAAGTTAAAAAGACAAAGATCTTCTCACACATTTGCTAATGTCTTTCCCCTGCAAAATAAATTAACATCAGTCTAAAAGTCTTCAACCTATCACTAGTGTTAGTTTTCCAAAAGTACTAGAAAATGCAGAATTTTTAGATGCACGTGAGCAAAGATTGGGTCATCTAGGCACTACCTCTCCCCACCCCTCCCCCGAGCCGCCGCCGGCTTCCTGGGGGAAGCGTTTCCTCTAGCTGGCTGGTCCTGTTCGCATGTGGGGGCTGGGCTGCTGTCCTGTCTCAACAAAGACCTTAAGTCTCCCAGGGCAGTAACATGTCCACTTTTCTTAAGCCAACAGTCAGTTTTAAAGCAATTAGAAATGGTACACATACATAATTTGGCTTTTTTTTTTTTAAATTAAAAAGCCAATCAAGCCAGGAATTGGCTCTGGCCCAAAGCCCCGGCCCACCCCCCAAACTCCCCCTAATGAAACCTTCAGCTAGGCCCAGAGCTCTCTTAGGTCAGAAGTTTGAGCGTAACCAAAACAAGGAACACTCTTTTTGGTACCAAAAATATACATATAAAAATATGCCAAACGCTCTGAAGAGGACAGACTGGCCACTCTTTCCTGTCAGTTACAGACACCAACGGGGAAGACAGGACAGGATGAACACACCCATCCAACTTGCAGGGACAGTCGGCGAGGCAGGAGCCCTGCAGAACAAGGCCGAGGGGACCCTCGGTTGGCCGTGTGACGGACGCCTAGACACTCACGCACACGCATAGCAGCAAGCGAGGGAGGACGGCTTCTGTTTATTGGTAAACACAACGGCCGCTCCAAGCACGTGGTGGTCCGGCCCCAAAGAGGCCGCCACACCTGCACACACACCCATTTAAACAAACTGCTCCGAGGCACAAGCACCAAGGAAAACACACAACATGGCAAGAAGGCAAAGTGGCTGGGAGCAGGGTGTCTGCAGACTCAAACTTTGGGATCGAAATTGCTGGTAAACAGAAAGGCACCAAGTTGGGTTCGGAGACCTGGCTGCTGGTGATGAAGGTCAGGCCGCAGCCTCCAGGAGCCCAGGGTGGCCCCAAAGGCCTGGCAGGAGCTGCAGCATCTAAGGCGGAGAGGTGATGGGCAAGACAGGGCTGCGGACCTTGGGGCAGGAGCGCTGCCTGGGCCATGGAGGGGGCAGAGCCCCCCTTCCCACCAACAGGCCAGTGCGAACCTGGCCGGGGACTCCGAGACCTTGTCTGCCAAGGCGGGTACCACGCCTGCTGCAGCCAGCACGGCAGCTACACGCCAAACCCAGAAATTTCATTTGGTTGCCCCTCAGTGAGGTCCTGGACACGGGCTGTCCCCAAAGGCACACTGTTGAAACTCATTTGGCTACACAAAAGCCAGGCTTCCTATTTGGCATGGAGGGTGAGGGACGGGGGCACTGGAAGTGGGGCAGGCCCAGCCCTTGGAAAGCACAGCCCACTGTGGGGATCCAGGCCCCCCCTCCTGCAGGCAAGGCTGTGGGGACATGAGAGGGCCCCACGCCAGCTGGCCGACTTCAGGCAGTAACTGAACACAGTGGGGGTCCCCAAAGCCCCGCTTCTTTTTGGCATTACAAAGACTCAGTGACCCCGTGGGGTGACCTGTCTCTCTGCCCTCAATTCTGATGCTGGTCACAACACAGGGCAGCTCCCCAGTGCAGTCACCTGCGGGGGTGGCAGTCGGAGGGGCAGCTCTGGCCTTTCTTGGGGCCCTTGGCCAGACGGGCCACCAATTTTGTCCCACTTCCCAACCACTACAGGGAGTCTGCTTCTTAGTCAGGCAGGACACGGAACCCCCAGAGGCCGAGGCGGGGGCAGGGGGATTGTCAGGGAACGCGGTGCCTCCCTAAGGGCAGGCCCCACACAGCCAGCAGGTGGGGGCAGCATGTGGGGCCAAGGTCGGGAACAGGCGGTCCTTGCCCAGGCTGGCTGACAGGAAGTCAGCCAGAGTGACACCCACTCCTTCTGCCCCCTGAACTCAGAGTCTGTTCAGGATGAACAGCTCTGGGACTTGCCCCTCCCGGCCCAGCGCAAGTCTGGGGTCAACGCCCAGGGACCGCAGCTGTTAACTTGAACCAGGGCCAGATGGCATCGAACCTACAGTGCTGGGGCTCCCGGTCACCGCTCCCTCCATCCCAAGACCTGTCTTTTTACATTAAGGCCACAGCCCTCAGCTGTTGGAGCGAGGACGGGGTCAGGACATCCCTCTCCCGTGCCAGCTCAGGCAGTTCTGAAGGGGAGTCCTACCATCAAGGCCCTGCGGGGCTGCGTGGTCCACCCTCCCTGGCACGGGCGCCCAGGCCATGCCTCCCACCCACCTGCAATACGCTCTGCCACCACCAGTGGGCAGAACAGCCACACTGGACCAGGAGAAGCTGCCTCCTCCAACACCTGTGCCTGGGGGCCGGGGCGGGCACAGCAGGAGAGCTGAGCCGGCAGGGAGGGAGCACGGAGGTTTGGTTTGGGCCCCAGGTGGCTGCCCAGGCTTCCTGAGGCCGGCGGGAAGTGAAGGCCCAGAGGTAGGAGCAGGGCCGGGCCAGGCCCTGGCAAGGCATCAAGGTATCGCCCTGACCCGACGTCACAGGTAGGGCCAGGGTTCGAGAGAAGGCATTCCAGGCCTGCCCTGCAAGGCCGCCTGGCCCCTGGCGATGGTCTGGGGTGCGGTCACTGATTGGAGCAGAACTGGAGGCCGGAGACGGGCAGGGGAGGCCCTGGCGGCGGTGGCCACGGGGTCAGTAATGCCTCAGGTTGAAGAAGCCCACGCTGGTGGGGGACTCCTTCACCGTGACGGTGATGAGGTTGGCAGTGACGTCGGTGACAAAGACGTGCTCGATGAGGCTGCGGGTGGGCTTCCAGTCCTGGCTGGTCTGCACGGACACAGACAGGTTCTGCTTGGCACCGGGAGGCGAGGCCGAGTCGGGGTCCGAGTCGGAGCTGCTGTTCTCCTCGCCGGTGCTCAGCTCCAGCAGCGCGGCCGCCTTGCGGGCGTCGCCCTGGGCCCCGGGCCCCTCCTGCCCGCCAGGGCCCACGCTGCCCTTGACACAGGCTCTCTGGCCTGCAGGGGTGGGCAGAGCCGCGGCCCTGGAGGCCAGCTTCTCGCTCTTGCTGGCGTCGGTCAGCATGCCGGCCCCGCTCCCCGCAGTGGGGCCGGCACCAGTCCCTTTCCCAGTGCCCGGCACGGCAGCAGGGACACCCTTGTTGGCTGGGGCGTGGCGGGCGACCAGGCTCACCCCAGGCGTGCCATTCTTGACACTCTGTAAGTCTAGGACCTGGAGGCTCAGTTCCTGGGTGGGTGCAGGCTGGGGGCTCAGGCAACCAGCAGGGACCTTGCTGCTGCTGTGGACGTGTGGGGCCCCCCCCGTGCTCCCCCCTTTCTGCTCCACCGCCCCGCTGCTGGGGGCCTTTGGGGCCTTGCCTCCAGGGGGACTGAACCCCAGCTCCCCTTTCTGCGTCCTCACCTTGAGGTCTAGCCCGAGGCTGCACTTGCTGGCCGTCTGGGCTTTGAGCGCCAGTCTGCTGGCGGCCTGGGCCTGGCTCTGGCTCACGCGGTTCATGTAGTGCACGATGGAGCTCTGCCAGCTGATGCCGCCCCGGCTGGGGCTGCCGGCCACGCCCTTCATCAGGCTGGCCAGGTTCTCTGGCGTGGCCATGGTGCTGGGGCCGCCGCACGCCTCCTTGGCGTGGGCCTTCAGGGCCGCCAGGCCGGCCACGGGGGCGCTGAGCGGAGCGGGCAGCTTGCTGGCGGGCGCCCCCAGGTCCTTCCGGGTGGTCTTGAGCACCCTGGCCAGGCTCACGGGCCTCCGGGCCGCCTTCTGCTCCGGGGGCAGGGGCTTGCGGCCCCGCTTCTTCCGGATGGGGTCCTTCAGTTCGGGCTTGGCCACCAGGATCTGGGCCTTCTTCTGAGGCACTGGGTGGGTCTCACGGCTCCGGGGACCCCTCTTGGTATCTAAGTCGCTGTCGTCGTCTTCCTCTGAAGACGAGGAGGAGGATGTGGAGGACGAGGAGGAGCTGCTGGACTTGCACTTGGAGGTGGCGTCAGTTTCCTGCAAAGACAAAGGGAAGGTGTCACTCCTTCCGCAGCCTGGTCCCCGGAGTCCAGAACCCACACGCTTCCCAAGGGGTGTCAGTCGCCTTGAAGCCAGCCCCTCCTACGGCTTCCAGACTGGAGGTAGCCAGCAGGGAGCGACTTCTCGCCACTTTGTTCCCGAAAAGATGTGTAAGGTCCCTAGTGAGTTTCCATGAAACGCAGTTAAAAGTAGAAAAAAGCAAAGCCAGTAGTCCACGCAATGAAGTCAGAGCAACAGAGACAAGCACACAACACGTCGGATGCTCCTGGCTTTGGGGAGAACGCGCGCGCGGCTCCAGGCCTCAGCAGCCCATCCAGAAGGGAAACTCGGACCAGCGCCTCCTACACAGCACGAGGTTCAGAGCTGAACGGAGGCGTGCACGGGGCTCTGTGACCCAAAGCAAGTGGGCACCGTTTTTCTCTCCTTTTCCAAATCTGACCCCTCGGGGCCTTCCACACACAAGAAACTGCTGCTGTCCTCCCGTCTCCTGGGCGCTGCCCCCCCCGCCACGAGCACTAAGGACACCCCCTTATCTCTCAGGCCCCCGCGCTGCTGGCTGCTGACGAGCAGACACGGCCGAAGGCAGGGCTCCCCCAGCCTCCTGGAAGGCGGTTTTACGGAGGAAGTGTCCACGCTCTGGGCCACGGCGTGTGGTTTAGTGCCCCCGAGGAAGGAACCCCAAGAGACGGCTAAGACTGGGGCACCTGCGGGCTGCCCAGTTAGCTGCATCTCCTTGGCAAACCTATGAGTACCTATTGTGTGCACGCTTCCCGTTCTCCTCTGTTCCCCATAAGCCACTAGGGGTGACAAAGGAAAATGTCGGCAGCCAAGTAGGATCCTGCTATCCAGGAGAAGGGAGCGTAGGACGGACGGCAAAGAACAGGGCACCAGCTCAGGAGGGGGAAGGGCGCTCCGGCTCGCAGTGGCCCCCCTCCCACCGCCGGCAGGGGCGGGGAGTGGGCAGCAAGGACTGGGCCTCACCCCCCAAGCCCTCCACCCTGCCCCCGGCCCCAAGCGCCGGAAGGTAAGCTGCCGAGTCGGGGCCGTCCCCACCCACCTTGAGCTTGGAGTGCCGGCCGCAGGAGGACATCACCGTGTGCTTCCTCGGCCTGCCCCGCGGCCGCTTGCCTCTCTTCCGGTTCTGCACCTCCTTCTCGTGTTCCCTGAAGACAGTCACCAGTCAGGGTCGCAGACCCTCCCACCCCCATGTGGAACCCCGGGGCTTCAAACATCCTGCACCACGCCAGCCCTGCCCCTCCACAGGGCCCTTCACACCTGTATAACCATCTATGTCATCTGTGTTGGGGAAAGAGAAGTCAAAGAAATTCAAGAAGCCTGGGATATGGCCAAGTCTCCAGGTCTCTTCAAGTACACTTAAAACAACCCAGTGCTAACCCAGGCCGCTTTCTGGAGGCAGAACGTTTTGTGGGAATTCTAAAATATCCCGAGGAGCCTTTGTGGTCACGTGGCCCAAAGCCTTCATTTCACGGAGTGAGGTCCTGCCCCCAGCCCCTCCGCCCCCCAATGCCTGCATACAATCTTTCCGGTCCGAGGAGTGCAGGTGACCAAGGGCTTCAGTTTGGCTCCGCAGCCCAGCCTTTGCGGTGCCAGGGCCCTGGCCCGTATTCCCTCCCAGCTTCCCTTTTCTGAGATCCCTCTGTTCCTGGACTCTGCGCTATGCGAAGTACTAGAGGCGGTTCCACAGGGGCCGGGCTCCAGCGGCTGGGCCCCGGGGCCAGGAAGCCAGGAGGGTCTCCGGTCCACCTGAGAGGCAGCCTGTGTTTCAGGCTACCCCCCGGGGAGAGAGGACCTATACGGAGCAGCTTCCCGGTAATGGCGACCATCACCTCACTGGGGCCTGGAAGGTGATCTCCCGGAGAATCCAGCTCGTACAACCAGACAGACGTGACCCTCCAAAGCAGCCCGACCTGTCTCCTAAGAAGACAGTGGTGTCCCGTGGGTCTCCTTCTTGGCTAAGGTCACACCCCCGACACCAAGCAAAGAACTGCCAGCTCCCAGTTTCCAGCGGGATCTTTCTGGTTCATGGGAGAAAGCAGAGCCTCACCCTCCCAGTTTTCTTCCCCCCAGGATGTATCCCAGACCGCCCCGTGGCTCAGACTCCAGCCCTCAGACATTCACCAGCCCCAGTTCTCGTCTGTGGCACTGTGACCAAAAGTGAAGTGGGCCACACAGGCTCTCTGGGGCCAGGACACTGCCCGCAGGAATACCCCGGCTCCCCTCCACGCCAGGCTGCCGGGACCCCAGGACGACTTAAGGAGCGGACAAGGAATGAGGCTGCTGAGCTTCTCCAAAGGCACATGCAAGTAGAGGCCCATGCCCTCCGTACGCCCCAGGGCCACAGCCCCTCTGAGAAGACCCAACACGCCCGGCTAGAGCGGAAGGCACGGGTGCAGCTTGAGCCCCCAGAGAACCAGCCAGCCGGCCTGACCCCAGCAGGGGCGGCGTTTGAGCAACTGACTTAGCCGCCTCTATCACCGGGGCAACGCCCCGCCGAGCGGGCTCCGGAACAGCGCCTCTGCACTCGGGTGCCTGGACGGGGTGGCCCATCCATCGCCAGCGTCTTGCCACCCTTTCCTCACACCAAGTATCTCTCTTAACCCATCTCCTACCCAAAACCAGAAATGGTGTCTAGAATTCATAAGCACCCTGGCTGGCGTGGCTCAGAGGACCGAGTGCTGGCCCGTGAACCAAAGGCACAGGCCTGAGTTGCGGGCCAGGTCCCAGCTAGAGGTGGGCAGGAGGCAGCCAACTGTCTCTCTCACACGCCGATGGTTCTCCCTTTCGTCCTCCTTTCACCATTTCGTAAGTAAATAAAATTAAAAAAATTAAAACTCTGGCCATTTAGAATTACGTAAGCCAATGTGGCTCCTGAGAGCAGCCGGGGGGTCACCACGGTGCTCGCCGAGGACCACGTTTTGCAGCCCAGAGAAAAGGAAATGCTGCCGGGACAGAGGCACCACGAGGGGCCCAGGGCTGCGCGGTGTGTTCCAGCCCCTCTCCAAGCCTTCTCCCGCTCTGCACGCCGAGAGCAGGGTTCGGGGGTCCGGCCTGCATTTCCACAGCACACCTGCTGTCCCAGTTTTTATCAGTCCTGTTTGCAAATTACTCAACAGAAAAGACAAAGAGAAACCAGAATTTTCCACAAAGGAATCAAGAAGGTTCATTTCGGGAAGTCCAGCTCAGAAAGGCCAAAAAGCAGCCCTTATGCAGCGACTCCTTAGGTCCAGGCACGGCCCAGGCACGGCCCAGGCTGGCCCAGGGGCAGGGGCCTCCTCTGGGACCTAGAAGCTTGCTCCACCTTCACAGACAGCCACGGAGGTCGCAGCAGAGCCCCGGGGACAGCTGCCATGGGACCTCAGACCACAACCCGAGCCCAGGACCTGCGGAGCGCGTGCACCGCCCGGCAGGTCTGTGTGGTAGGCCCCCTGCCCCCACATCGCCCCCTTCCCCGCACTGTGGCCACTCTCTCACTTCTTCTGGAAGGCCAGGAGCAACCGAGGGTCCAGGATGTTCTCCTCTGGCTCCCAGCTGTTGTGTCTGGAAAAGCAAAGAGCAGGTCCTAGTAAAACAGAAGCCACTCCAGAAGGAAGCCAATCCCTGCGGTTGGCGGAATCCGCAAAGGGCCTGCTCATGCCCAGGATGAGCTCCTGGAGACTCGGCCCTCAAGCCAGCATCTTATCTTGAAACTCATAGGGAAATTGCTACCTCAACCCCCCAATTAGCACACGGCTTCAGGAGGACTCACAGTCTCCCCCTGGGAGGAAAACAAATCCCAACAAAATGGAAAGTGGCAGAGGGAAGCCCCCAAACCCTGGCCCGGAGCCAGAGAGGGAAGGGAAGGCCGTCCAGGATGCTGGGAGGGGGAGGCTGAGGGGCACAGAAACGCAGCCCAAAGGTTAAGGACAACGTGGCGGGCGCCCTAGCGAGCGCGGGCCGGGGCACCAGGAGGAGAAAGCAAAGAAAGAAGAGTGCGGCCCTGGAAGAAAGGGGACACGGGTCTTCGCGAGCGACTGTAAACAGAGCCCCCTCCGGAATGCCAAGTCCCCTCCCTTCCATTAAAGGAAAAAAAAAAAAAGAAAAAAGAAAAAGAAAGCCCTACATTCATCAATAGACAGCTCAAGTTACAGCGGGGAAAATATGGACAAGAGGAGGGGGTCTCGCGAGTGCCGGGAGGGGTGAGGCGGGGCGGGGGAGCATGCAACAAATGGGCGCGGGAGGAGCGCACAGAGCAAGAGGGAAGCGGGCCGGGTGCAGGGAACGGCGGCTGGGGGCGCCGGGATCGGGCTGGGCCACGACCCTAACGGGAGGCCGGCAGCCCGGCACCCCCCGCGTTTGTAAACAAAGGACAACCCCGCGTAGCCTGGGCGCCCCCTCCCCGCAGGGTTGGAGGAGCCCGCAGGGACCACGGGAACTTCCCGCGCAGTGCTCCGACGACCCCCTTCCCGCCCCCGGCGACGCCACGGCCCAGGTTCCCTCCTCTCTCCAGGGCGATGGGGCACGGGCGGGAAGGCGGGCGCCGCATTGTTGGGGGACTCACTTGGAAGACCAGCCGCGCCACTTGACCAGGTACTCCAGCTTGCCCTGCCGGGAGAGAGGGGGCGCATGAGCAGGGGCGGGCAGGGGGGCGCGGGGCGAGCCGGGGCGGGCCGGGCCAAACGCACCTTGCGGAGCCGCTTGCTCAGGATGCACTCAGCGGCGAAGACCTGCTCGCCCACGCTGCTCAGCTCCTCCATGCTGCCGCGCGCGCCCGACCGCCCGCCCGATCGCGGCGTCCGCCGCTCCCCGCACCGCCGCCGCACACAAAGCACCGCCCCCGCCCGCGCAGGGTCCGCCCCGCGCACGCGCAGCGCCTCCGCGGCCCCTCTCCGCGCCGCGCAGCGCTTCCACGGGCTGTCTACTCTGGCGCCGGCCAATGAACGCGCGGGGGCGGGGCGTGGGGCGGGGCGAGCATTGTTTGCCGCGAGTTCGGCCTCGGGCCGGCCTGGGGTCTACCCAGGGATCTACGCTGAGCTGAGCTGTGCTGGATAAGGGTGGGGTGGGCACCTGGCGCAGGGATCTCCCGGCGCTGCGAAGGAGCTGTGTTTGGGGTCGGGGGTGGTTGGCGGAGATGGACGCGCCGCGCGGCTTCGGACCTGGAAAGTCGCCCGCCCGCCGAGTGCTGCTTGGACCCCGGGGTGTGCCCAGCCTCCTCCTAACTTCGTTTTCCGGGAAAAAAGCCATTGTTCTGGCCCGAAGGGGGAAGTCGGGACGATGCACGGGTCGCTTCCTGCCCCCTCCTCCGAGGGGCGCTGCTGCAGGGCACGCCAGACTCTAGCTGCCCTCCGCCTTTTTGAACTAGGTCTCGGGCACTCTTATTTTGCGCGGGAGCAAAAGGGCCAGGGGGCGGGGAAGGAATGGGAGACAAAGTACTTGCTGGGGAGCGGGGCGCAGCAAAAGCGGAGCAGCCAGGTTTTTGTTTTTTGTTTTTTTAATCCCCAAAGGCGAGAGAGGAAAATACATCAGCTGAAAACGCGAGCTGCTCGGTGTTCTTACTTGTACTATGAAGAGTGGAATCCACCCCGAGTTTCAGGGCACACGTAGGGAGAACAGGAACTGCGCCTTAATTTGTTTCATGATTTTGATGAAATGAAGGTGGGGGAAGGGAGCGAGGTTTCGGGTGGTGGTTCTAACCTGGGAGTAATTCATGCGCCTGCCAGGATTTGTAAATCTCTATCATTTGGCTCAGTTGCACGCAGCGAGAAGACTGGACACCCTTTTGGGGTCCTCGGTGGCAGGGTACCCTTTTATTTTCTCCCGTTCGGATCCGTATTCCATCGAGCAATTCCCCCTTAAGTCATTTAGCTCTTAAATCTGAGGAAGTCAAGCGGATAATAAAGGAAAGAAACGTTAGTCTTACCTTTTTTCGCTTCAATACCATTTAACTCAATGAAAATTCACTTTCTGGTTTTGTGTCTTCCTTGAACGCGGCTGCAAAGTACTCTCTGTTGAGCAAATGAAAAAGTCGTTTCTCGTTGCGGGAGACTGCACCTCAATGTAATTTTGATCATTAAAACCACATTTGTAAAGGATTCTGCAGGAGAAAAGTATTTTGTTTTAACAGGAGGGCCTGCTGTAAGAAATTCGGAGGTGCAGGAGTCCATCTTTCCATTTCTGGCAGGTTTTCAGTTTGTTTGGTCAAATAGGTTACATTCATCTGATATCCTGGAAAGGACTTGGGTGATAGCAGAGTTTACAGCCTCTGGTATTGTTTGCAGGAGAGGTGGGGAGAAGGAAGATTCACTTGGGGTGGGGGTGGGGGTGATTGCTCTCTCAGGAGAGGCCGCCAGCCCAGGACCCTTGTTTTGGGATAAAACCACCCCTGGGGTGGAGAGAGCAGCTTACACCCTTCAGGCTCTCTGCCTCTTTTTGTGCTCACATCTTGTGAAGCTCGGCAGTGAGCTGTGGGGCTGAGGCCAGAGGTCTATTTACTGTAATCGGACCAATAGCTGGATCCGCTTCAACTCACGTTTCCTTGCGCAATTCATCTTGGGTGTGAGGTTTTTGCCCTGAAATTTTCTAGTTTCCTCTTGGTGATATAGAGTGTCCTGGAAACCTGCTTGATTTTTTTTTTTTTTTTTTTTTTTTAAAGAAAAGAAAGCTTTAGCCCTGTATGGCTCAATGGACTGAGCGCTGGCCTCTGACCAAAAGGTCCCCAGTTGTGTTCCTGGTCAGGGCACATGCCTGGGTTGCGGGGCCAGGTCCCCAGCTGGGGGTGTGCAGCCAATGGATATTTCTCTCTCCCTCCCTTCCCCTCTCTCTAAAAAGAAATAGGTAACACCTTTTTTAAAAAGACAAAGCTTTAAAAGGGAAATTGTTTTCTTTCCCAAAGAAATACATTTGTCTATAATTTGATCCTAACCCATTGAGGGGGAAAATCAATTTCTTTGGATGTTTAACACAACAATCAGTTTCTTGAATGTTCATCTGTCCAAGTATGAACACTCAGTTTGGATAAAATAATGTTTAGACGATTTATTTGGAGAAACAAATGGGACCAATTTGAGTAGAATTAAATGATCAGGTACATAGGGTGGGGATATGACCCAAAACTTGTGAAGCGTTCCTTAAAAACAAAACTGGAAGTAGAAGCGAGGACTAATTCCAGCTAAACAATTGTGTCAAAACACGGTTTGGGGTTAACGCAGATTCTGTCTTCCGTTTGATTGCCGCATGGGTTACGAGGAGCTAGAACAATGACTTTCTTATGTAGCCAACAAAGTTACATAGCATCGCTGTCACCTAGGCATGGCTAGAGAGAAGACGACGAGCCTAGAGCGGCGGGGTCTCACAGGACCTTCAGAGGTGATGGAAATGCCCTTGCCTCGACGCCCTTCAAACTGAGGCAGGCAGATCTGCTCAGAGCCCTGGCGGGGGGTGGGGCGGCGGTAGGAGGGGTTTGCCGAGGCGCCGGGAAGCAGCCTAGGACGGGATTGGCCGAGGACCTGAACGCCTCCCGCGCACCGGGGATAAAAACGGGGCTGGCGCTGGGGCTCTTCTTCCTCGAGGACGCCTGGGTGGCCCTGCTGCAGCTGCCTCCGTTCCCGACCGAGGGCGTTTAGTTGGGCAGGAACTCCGGGCGCAGCCTGGGGGCGGGCTGGCCTGGCAGAGGGTGGCAGGGTTGTTCTTTGGGGGTTCTAGAAGGAACAGGCTCTGAGGCAGAAGCCCGCCCGCCCTTCTTCCACAATTGTGTAGCTTTTGTGTCTTACGTAGCTTTAGTTTGTAAACTAACTCTATAGAAATAAGTTAATTAAAACTAACAGGGAATAATAGAAGAACTCGGGTGTTAAAACGTATAGTCTTAGTGAATAGGTTTAAGTGATTAAAGCTGTAACTAAAGAGTTAAAGAGTTTAGCCTTAATTGATAGGCATCAGTGACTAATGCCAGTGGAAATCTGTTATTCCAAAATTGGGAAGCTGTTGAATAAAGACTCCTTTCCTGTGTCACCAAACCTGTCCTCTGGAATTTTGCCTGGAGGGTGGCGGCGGGCAGCGGATTGCTGTTTGGTAACAAATCCTTTACCCGTCAGCCATTGCTGGCTAGTGAGTACTTAAATGCAGCCGGTGCTACTGAGGAACCGAATGTTTAAGTTCATTTAATTTTAAATTTAAATAGCCACATGTAGCTAGTGGTCAGGTACCAGACAGAACGGGCATAGGAACACAAGGGATACACTCTCAACTTATTTTAAGCAAAAATAATGCAGTTACTGACATTAACCCTGGAACACGAATAGTTTACCGACACTTCCAAATGTGCTTTATTATAATGGGGAAATATTTAAAAAGGTACAAGTTAAAAAAATGCCCCCAAAGAGTAAAAGTACAGGCATACAGGAGTACATTCAGGCTAAATACTTCATTTAATGCCACTTTCTACGCGCACGTTAACTCATTACTGTCTGAAATACTGCCAAGAAAAGATCAGAATTTTTATGCCGCTTTCGTGGACTGAAAATCGAAGATACTGCTGAGGCACAAAGCGACATGACCGTGTCCCACCCAAGCCAGTGGAGGAGTCGGGAATGGAGACGAAGCCAGTCCCTCCATCTGTCAACTCTGGCAGTAACGCCAAATGACAGTTACGTCTCATGGCACAGTTTCAGGACAGCTCTTAGTGTTTCTCCAAAGACCGGTTCGTTCTCGCAGGCAGGGCTGGCTGAGGGGGAACCGCCCGGCAGGCGCTGCTCTGCCCGGGGCCAGCCTGCGGTGAGCTCCGGAGACTGAACACCCTGCGCGAGCTTCCGTATTGAATGCGAGGGTCTGTCCCCTCCCAGGTCCCCACCCATCTCCCAGACGGGGGTGTGAGTTGCAGGCTCACGGTGTCACGGATGCTCATTCTGTATGTGTGGTGGGTAAATATGAGCCACGTGTGACACAGCGTTGATATATCGCAAACGAGCGCAGTTAGGGGCTGGCGGAGGTTCCCCAGCTCGCAGTTTGCTTGGGACCTCCCTGGGCAGACACGCATGTAGGGACGTCCAGGCCCCACCCCAGAGGTCCTGACCCAGCAGAGCGAGAGTCTGTACACAGTTCGGATCACTTCTCACAAAGGGCCGCCTGTCCCAGCCCTCATCTTACAGACGAGGGAAAGGATCCTAAGTGGCCTGCTCCAAGCCATCCCCACGTGTGCCTGGCGGGCTCAGGGGTCGGCGCTCCGTAGGCTCCCGCGGTGGACCGGGGCAGCAGAAGCCGGCTAAGCTCCCGGGACCGGGACCGAGCGCGCTGCTCAGCTCTGAAGACCTGCCCCGGCGGGGCCACCCTGGATCCTGGGGGCAGGAGGGGTTAAGGAGCGTCGTTAACAGGGTAGGAGGCGGGAAACGGACACTTAACCCAGCCTTTTAGGAGGCTGCTCTGGAGACCAGATCACGGCCCTTCAGGGCGAGCTCCCTTGCACAAGGCTCAGGTTTTAGGAAGTGTCGTTTATTAATTTTGCAAACGTATCCATCCCCGATGGCGAGTTTTTTACAATAGAAACGGTGCAGTGTCAACGTTGTCACCTTTGCGTGGACACTGACCTGTGCCGCCAGCTGCGGGGCAGCGGGCCCGGGTACTCGTTAAAGGGTCTGTGGGTCTAAGGTATCTGTGACAGGTTGCCAACTGTCCCCTGAGGGGCGGCGCTAATCCACACTCCCACCCCAGGTAGACGCGGCGGGGGCGGTCCTCTGTCCCCACATTCTCAGCCACCCCAGGAATGGGAAGGTCGTCTCGGGCATTCCCTGG